AGTGCCTGCCTTTGGCCCAGGGTGTGATCCTGGAGTCCCAGGATCAAGTCCCACATCGGGCTGTCTGCAGGGAGCCTGCTTCTCTCTCTGCCTGTGTCTCTGCCTCTCTCTTTCAGTGTCTCTCATGAATAAATAAATAAAATCTTTAAAAAAAAAAAAGATCCTGGGTTGTGTGAGGACCACCACCAAGTCCCTCGAGCGAGGGGATCCTGAAGAGGTCCTCCAGCTCTCGGTTCCTTTGGAGCATGTCCATGACACCTGCCGCCTCGGGTCCTCGTGGGGCCATTTGGAACTCTTGGAGACCCACAGACGGAAATCTTTCCAAGAACATTATTAACGGTTACACTGCTGATAAATGACCTCAGGCCTCTTCCTTCAGCTAGTTAATCACCTGGGATAAAACCGTGCTGAGGGGGAGGAAGTGGGGCCATCCTCCCACCCCGGCTCTGAGCACCCGGCACACACCTGCAGGCAGTCACGTTTTTGTCCTTCCCTGGCACTTTTCAAAAGATCAGAGAAAGCCGAACACGCTGTTCAGTAGTAAGTAAAACAGATGCCCCAGAGTACACACCAAACGGCCATAATAACCGTAAGGCCTCACATTCCCTTCTACCAGCACCTTCCTCGTACCAGGGCATCTGCATGCCCAGGAGACCACCCTGGATTCCCAAGCAGGATTGATTGGAGCTCAGAAAACACCCCAAAGGCTCGACTCTCAAGTGGCTCTGAGAGCATCAGGGCCACCGAGGCATGTCATACCCCAGCCTCTGGGACATGCCAGTTGGGCAGCTCCAACCGCTCTTCCCTGACAGGTCCTCTCCCGCTCCCCCATCCCCTGTTGGCCTCAGCTAGGGAAAACCCAGGAAAGTGCTCGATCTTTGCATGCCCCCTTTGTGGTCTCACTCAGCTCATTTTCTCTGCTTGAGCAGATACACGTGAACGATATCGCCTCTGGATTGCCGGAGCAGTCACATAAGGTTAAGGGAGAGTAGGCGTTTTTTTTAAAGGTTTTATTTTATTTTATTTTTAAGATTTTATTTGTTTATTCATAAACACAGAGAGAGAGAGGCAGAGACACAGGCAGAGGGAGAAGCAGGCTCCATGCAGGGAGCCCGACATGGGACTCGATCCTGGGACTCTGGGATCATGCCCTGGGCTGAAGGCAGGTGCTAAACCGCTGAGCCACCCAGGGATCCCTCTTGCAGTGGATTTTAAAGATTAAATCCCCAGGAGGGCCAAGTGTGAAAGCGGGAGCACATTAGGAACAGGAGACGTCGGGGAACGGGGAAGACACTGCAAAAGGTAGGAACGCATCTTCTTCACAGTTAGGACCGTGTCTTCCCACGTTCGTGCATTGGTTCTTCCACACACCATTTATTGATTTATTTTTTTAAAGATTTATTTATTTATTTGTGATAGACATAGAGAGAGAGAGAGAGAGAGAGAGGCAGAGACACAGGAGGAGGGAGAAGCAGGCTCCATGCCGGGAGCCCAATGTGGGACTCGATCCCGGGACTCCAGGATTGCGCCCTGGGCCAAAGGCAGGCGCCAAACCGCTGAGCCACCCAGGGATCCCTCCACACACCATTTAGATGTCCGTGCTGCATCCTCTGTGGACGGACAACACGGTGATCCTTGAACTCAGTACTGAGCAGAGGTGGTAAGGGGTGATAATGCAGCTGTCTTCCATCACATTGTGCAAGCACGTGCGCCGTCTCAGCCACTTCAGTCTTTAAGCCTTTTTCCTCTTTCCTGCCACGTTTTGACACCACCTTGTTTTTTAATATCTGGGAGACAGTCAAGGTCAGAGAAGGTGAAAACTCACCCCAGTTCAAGGGCGAGGGCGCCCAATCACTCCGAGGACGAGTGCCGTGAGGGAGAACTGGAGTAAATCAGGTCAGGCATTTAATTGTGCATTTTCAGTAGCTTTACTCTGAATAATGGCACATTGCAGTTGACATTCACCACCAGATTCATTTCTGACAATCTCTCCTGGAACTTTATAAAGTAAAATGAAATTGTAAAAGACCTTCCTCTGCCTTTCCTACCCTGCTTCCCCCAAGAGGTACATTTTCATTTAGCGGATGGGTCAAATAATGAACTAAAAGCTATGTTTGCACTTAAAAGGGTTGTTCCCAATGGCTGGTTTTGAGTTGGTCGCGACGTCGGCCTCTGCATGGATGTTAAAGATTAGCCCACCATCGACCATTAGCCTCAACACAGGCGTAAATGTTTGACAGGAGAACACACATCCCGGGACGGGGGGAGTGCTCGGGAAGGTGTTGTTGGGAATAGAAAGGAACCTCATGGTCCATTGTGGGAACCCTGGACAGTGTTTCTGTTAAATCATTTGTACACTGTTAAATGATTTACATTCTGATGGGATCTGGTAATCCCAAAAGGCCAATTCCACGCATTCCTCTGTATCCCAACCCTGACAGTCTATATCAATTACAGCGGCCATAAAGCTCTCTCAGCTGGTTACGCATAAAGAATTATTGTGCCCGATTCTTCCATATGCTCTCCCTGGTTCCCTTAGCCCACACTCCTGAGGTGGTTCAGTAGCAAATATTATTATCCACCTTTGAAATTACTGGGCCTGAAAGGGCCCAAATGATATCCCTCTTTCAAAAGATACAGGCTTGCTAGAGTGTGTTGTTTTGAATTCCAGGGTCCCGTTGAGGACCACAAAAAAAAAAAAAAAAATTAATTAGAAAATCCGTGAATCAGAGTTCGGTTTATAATTCAAGTGAAAAGTAACTCTGGTTTTAGCTAACTTCAGTGATAGTTATGGCTCTGAGAACAGGTTGGCTGAAACCAAATCCTTATTTTTTTTAATCGAAAAATAATTGACATATAACATTATATCAGTTTCAGGTATATAACATAGTGACCCAATAGTTGTGTATCTTGTGAAATGATCCCCACCATAGGTCTCATTAGTATCCATCACCCCACATATATATTTTTTTGTCTTGGGATGAGAACTTCGGAGATCTAGCTTTCTTAGCAGCCTTCAGATAGACAGTATAGTAACAACTATAGTCACTGTGCTGTACATTACATCCTCAGGACTTGTTTTATAAACTGACGTTTTTACATTTGACCGCCTTCACCCATTTCCCCCACCCCCTGCCTCTGGCAACCATCAGTCTGTTCTCTGTATCTATGTATTTGAATTTTCTTCCTTTCAGACTCCACATGCAAGTGACATCATGTAATACTTTCTCTGTCTTGTTTCATTTAGCATGATGCCTTCCAGATCTATTCATGTTTTTCCAATGGCAGGATCTTGTTCTTTTTTATGACTGGATAATATTCCATTGTGTGGAATGGAATATATATATACACAGACACCATATTTTCCTTATCCATTCATCAATTGATGGACACTTAGGTTGTTCCCATGTTTACAAAAATTTGGCCATCATAAATACTGCTGCAGTGAACATGGGGGTAAAGATATCTTTTCAAGCTGGTACTTTCATTTCCTTTGGGCAAATACGCAGAAGTAGAATTGCTGGGTCATAGGCTAGTTCTATTTTTAATTTTTTGAGGAACCTCTATTCTGTTTTCCATAGAGGCTGCCCCAATTTACACCCCCCCCCAACATGCACAAGGGTTCCCTATTCTCCACATGTTCTCCAACACTTGCAATTTCTTGTCTTTTTGATAATAGCCATTCTAACAAGTGTCAAGCGATAGCCCCAAGTCCTTACTGACTTAGGGGAGTAGATGCACTCAGGGAGGTCACTTGCCAGACAAGAGGTGAGGCAATTGTTTCCAGCCTCCTCACTGCCACTAAGGCCTTGTGGTTTGGGGAGAGTCCCTTGACATTTTTGGATTTCTGATCTCAATAAAAGCAGAGGGCTGGGCTAGCCGGTGTTGAAGCCTGGCTTAGCTCTAATGTTCTGTGGTCCCATCACTCACTATAGCATCTAGTGATATGAAGGAGAGAGAAAGAAAGAATAAAACAGACATTTCTACTTAAGTTTCACAACACAAGTATAACATTAATTTGTTTATTATTTTTCTGGGCTGATGGACTCCAGAGTTCCCTCTGTTTTTAAGATCTGAACAATATATGACAATACAACGTCATGCACTTAAAATATGTAAAGAAGGTGGTGGTTGTGTTAAGTATTTTGTACCATATACCAAACATGTACACACACAAAGGGACACGAGGACATTCATGGGAAGCATTTTTAAACTTAAGCTCTGTGGTAGTGCTAGTCTGTAGAACTTTCTGCAATGATGGAAGTGCCCTGTATTTGCTCTGACCCTATGGTAGCTAATAGCTACATCAAACTGTCAAGCGCTTGAAAGCCATGAGACCATTGCAGTGAGAAACTGTATTTTTGGGGTAGCCCCGGTGGCCCAGTGGTTTAGTGCTGCCTTCAGCCCAGGGTGTGATCCTGCAGACCCGGGATCAAGTCCCACATCAGGCTCTCCGACGTGGAGCCTACTTCCCCCTCTGCTTGTGTCTCTGCGCCTCTCTCTCTCTCTCTCTCTCATAAATAAATAAAATCTTTTTAAAAAAACTATTTTTTTATTAAATTTAATATTAATTTAAAGGGTCACAATCCCATTATAACTTTTTTTTCCCTATAAAGCCTTACTCCTGGTTCTAAAGTAGTGTATGAAGAAAACACAATTGGTTACCAAGTAACCTGACTCCATTGATGAATCAGATTAATAAATTTGTAAAAAGCCCAAGACTGGTCTGCTGCCTACTGTCACAAGATTTAAAGATGAGGCCTTTGAGATGAGATGACTGAGAAGGCCCAGGACTGCTGGGGTCCCTTCTGGCTAAAAGCCCAGAACAGGATGTCAGGGAGCACTTGGGGCCAAGTAATCCAGACCACAGATATCCTGTGAGCATTTGAGATTCTGAGGGTCACCTCAGAAAAGGAAGACCGGGCCTTTATTTAGGAGTTGTCATAAAGAAGTCATTGTTAAGTACCAAACTTACCTTCCTTGTGGGTTTTTCCTTTCAGGAGCTGATTGATGTGGACAGCGAAGTGGTGTTTGAATTAGCCTCCTATATTTTACAGGTAGGTTGTTCTGCCCTCATCTGTGGATCCCAGAGCCAGACACAGAAGAGATAGCAGTAAGTCTTACCATGCACAGCCAGCTGCCCTATGCACTACCTGTTGGTCATCTTATTTATAGAGCTAACAGGAAGGAGTACACCATGGCTGTAAACAGGAGCTTCTGATATTTCCAAATTATATGACAGTGTCTCTCTGCAAAGGAAAATTATGTATATATCGTTTGAGTTGGAAAACTAAGATCAAAAAAAAAAGAAAAAGAAAACTAAGATATTCAGTGGCCCTATTTCCTTCCATTTTGGTGCCCCCCTCACTCTGGAGAAAGCCAAGTCCATAGAAGAATTAATTGCAAGAGAATCATTTCACAGCCCATGGAAAGATAATGAGAGACCTTTAGCTTATGTGTGAAAGACTTATTAGTGAAAATTAGCAACAGTGACCATACTAGTAACACTGACAAGATGAACCGAAAGAAGGTCATTCATTTTATTTCTTCATCAAAGATTTATTGAACAACTACTATATTCAAGGCATCATGCTAGAGTCATTAAAGCTCTTCATGGTCCCTCTGTAGTATAACCGGGAAAGAGCCCACGGTACAAGACAAAACAAATAATGCAACACAGAGGCAGACCCACCTTCAGATTCAGAATCTTTAAACTAGAAAAAGGCAAACCTGGGTCTAGAGGGAGAAACTTGTGTTTTGTTATTATGGATCACTTTTTTTGTATACGACTTTCCAAAGTTTAATTTAAAATTTAGTGTCTCAAAATAAAATAAAATAAAATAAAATTTAGTGTCTCATATTCAGGGGCAAATGCCTGGTCCTTTCCTCATTGTCTTCCTGTAGCAGGTAGGACAACAGTAGTAGTAAGCTGAGCTGACTCAGTAGAGGAGTTGTCGTGACCGTAGGTAGAATGTACTGGAAAGTCTGGCACACTGGACTGGAGCCTTTCACTGATGTTGACTTTTTTCTTCTACAGGAAGCAAAGGGAGATTTTTCTAGGTGAGTTTCCAAAAGGTTTTGGGGCCATTGTGGTTTTTCTGTTTTTGTTTTTTGTTATTTTTTGCTCAATGTGCTCTATCACATCTCTGTTAAAAGAAATTATTCTTCATATCCTTTATAGGAGGGCAGTGCTTTAATTATATTAATGATGAGATCCAGCTCTCAACTTGTCAATTGAAACAGATAACATCAGGCAGAGGAAACCTAGTAATAGCAAGGAGGATATTATGTACTAAATGGGAAGCCTACAGGTCACTAAAAAGCTGAGAGTAGTACCCAGTGTCACACTTGGCAGCTGTATGGAGGTTTGTTAGATTGTCCAGGTGTGTCCATGGAGCCGGAACTCACCACTCTGGTGTGAATAGGGCTTCGGATAACCCTGGGGTGTGCATATCTTTTTCGTTGTCTCTGTTTCAGCCCCCTGCCCCTCCAGAGGACAAAATGCTATCCCATTTTAGCTTTCCTTCATCAAACTATTACAGTCCCCCACTTCTACGTTTCTTCCTTCTCTAGATACTACGTTGGATAGAATGTAAATGTTTAACCACTGGGGACACTGCGTGCTGCTTATTAAACCTGTGGAACTGCCAGCTTCAGTCTTGTCATTCATTTCCTGAGGCATCGCCCACTAGCCAGCTTGGTTGGATTGCCTCTCATTTTCTCACGATCATTCCTCGAGCCCTTACCAAGTAGGGAGGTATAGCCATCCACCAACAGGACTGTCTGCTCAAAGACAGATATTACTCCTGGCGTTCTGTTTTATTGCAAGAAACATGTGGGATAACCTGTGTTGTAGAATCAAGGTCTAAATGTACAAGAAAACAGTGTCAGGGCATCGCATTACGGCTCCTCAATAGGGAATTGGCAAAATTGGTATTAAAAGGAAACACGGGAAAAAAAATAAATTAAAAAAATAAAAGGAAACACGGGGACACCTGCATGGCTCAGTAGATTAAGCATTTGCCTTGGGCTCAGGTCATGATCTCAGTGATGAAGTTTTGGAATATTAGGTGAGGTCCAGAGCCAAAGACCAAGAAAGAATTCTTGAGACATCTTTGGTGCAAAATGGTGGTTTTATTAAAACAGGGGGACATTACCTGTGGGCAGGAAGAGCTGTTGCCGGGAGGGGGAGGTTTGTGAGGAATGGCTGATTATTTATACTTTCAAGTTGGGAGGGGTTTGGGGATTGTATACTCTCTAAGGAATTTTGGAAGCAAGGTTTCCAGGACCTTGAGGGCACTAACTATTGTTGGGAAACGGTCACTTATTACCATCTAATAAAACTTGCATCAAGAGACCCTTCAGATGTGCATCAGTAGGCTATACACTAGGGGGATGATTGCTGACATGTATCTTGGGGGGTTTAGAGAGAAAGAAAATTTCTAAAGGAATTTTTATATGTTAAAGTAGACTTACAGGATCCTGGGTGTCGGGCTAAGATCCCCTTTTGCCCTTAGCAAAGTGTTAACATTGAGGCAGTTGAGTCCGTAGAGGAAGGTCGCTTTGCCTGTTTCAAGGACTTTGTCAAGTACTGTTTTCCCTCTAACAAGGTATTAACATTAAGACAGCTGGGAACTTCCTGAGGAATGTCATACATATCCCTCCCTGGGGAGCAGGGGGTGTCCTTTGTGAGATATCAGCTTCTACTTTGTCCTTAGTTAACTCTCTGTTCCCCACCATCAGGGTCCTGGGGTAGAGCTCCGTCCTCTGTTGTCCCCACGTCCTTGGGGCTTCCCACTCAGCAGGAAGTCTGCTTCTCCCTCTGACCCTCTTCCCCCTCATGCTCACTCCCTCTCTCTCCCGTTCTCTCTCTCTTTCAAATAAATCTCTAAAAAAGAAAGAAAGAAACACAAATCCTGCCTTTACTCTTTGAAGGAACTTGTGTGTTTTCTCTTGCTTTTGGTGGATTTGATCTGTAATGTAAATATCTTGGGTTTTGCAAGCCATACAGTCATTACTCAGCTCTCTCTTTGTAAATGCAAAAGCAGCCACAGTAGGTAAATAAATGAGGGCAGCAGTGTGCCAATAAAACTTTATTTATAGACTTAGAAATTTGAATTCTGTATACATTTTCCTGTATCACAAAATACTATTCTTTTGATTTTTTTCCCCCTCCTGAACCATTTACAAATGTAAAAGGCATTCTCAGCTCACAGGCCATACAAAAACAAGTAGAGGGCTGGAGCTAGCTGGTGACTTGCAGCATGCTTTCCCCTGATGCTAAAATTAGTCCCTTCAGCTTCGTTTGAATATTTGCATAAGGAGACCTCCAGGCCCCTTTTATTTAGACTTCCCAAGTTCTTGCTATAAAACAGAGGTAGTTTTTTTTTTTTTTTTTTTTTTTTTTAAACTAAGGCTCTCTTACAGCCTTAGCTGGAGACCTCAAGCATTGTAGGTGGTCAATGACCATCCACTGAATTTCTCGAATGAAACATTTTCAGGATGTAGAAACCATATTCATTTTGTTGGTTTTTTTATAATCATTACTTTTTTCTGCCCTTCATTTGGTATTCGAATCTGGGGGTTTTGATAAGTTCCGGTTCATATACTTACCAAATGTTTCTGGTCTCATGAAAAATAGTTGAACAATCACTATTTTTCTCCGAAGGTACTCTTCCCTCCTTTTCTTTCACCAGCCCTGAACTCTGTTGTAAATATTTTTTTTTAATATTTTTGAGAGCACCCTGACAGCATGGAATGTGAACTGGGACCAGCGTTGCCTGGCCCCACGGATCCTGGGAATGTATGGCCACAGGGATTGCCAAGGAAGAGGAAGTGCAGGCCTGGCCTCACTAATTCACAGCCCCCTCATGAGCTTGTGGAATGCCAGCTTGTGGGCTTCCAAGAAACAAAGGATCCTGGTTTAGCTTCATTTGTCAAATTGCTGCCTCTTGGTTTGTTTGTCTCCAGCTGTCTGGGGAGAGAAATAGCTGTCAGGGGAGGGAGGGGTCAGGCACCTTATCCAGAAGGTCAGTGTATCTGCCAGCCTAGCACTCCCATCGTGAAGTTGGTGGTGATCTATTAGTGCAGCGCCCTGAAAAACACCCATCTGAAGCAGGCCCAAGGTTCACATGCAGCAGCAGCCTGGAGTCTGGGAATCAGAGAAGAGGTTCCAAGTCCCTTGTTTTTGCCTCTCCCCATCTATACCCAGGGAAATCCCCAGAACGATGAAACTGAGTATATTTGGTTTGGTGGCTGATCATTAGACCTATTAGATGTCCCACTCTCATAATCTAGTATTTTAGGGTTATCTTTGCTCTATTAATAATTAATGCAGGACTGTACAACCTGTGTTGTATTTCACTAGAAGGCCTAGGGCAGCCCAGGTGGCTCAGCAGTTTAGCGCTGCCTTCAGCCCAGGGCGTGATCCTGGAGACCCCACATTGAGTCCTACGTTGGGTTCCTAGCATGGAGCCTGCTTCTTTCTTTGCCCTCTCTCTCTCATAAATAAATAAATATTTTAAAAAATAATAATTAGAAGGCCTTGACTTGTATACATACCCTTTAAATATAATATGCTTTTCTGTACAGCATCAATAAAATGAGATGTCAGTGTAGAACACAGAAAACACTGCAGGAGACTTTTTTTTTTTTTTTTTTTTTTTTTAGTTATTCATGAGAATACACAGAGAGGAAAGAGAATGAGGCAGAGGGAGAAGCAGGCTCCATGTAGGGAGCCCGACGTGGGACTCGATCTGGGGTCTCCATGATCATGCCCTGGGCCGAAGGTGGAGCTAAACCACTGAGCAACCTGGGCTGCCCTGCAGGAGACTTTTATATATTTTTTTAAGATTTATTTATTTATTAGAGAGAAAGAGCATGAGCAATGGGGTGGGGGGCAGAGGGAGAGAGAGAGAGAATCCCAAGCAGACTCCCCACTGAGCGTGGAGCCCCACACAAGGGCTCGATCCCAGACCCCTGAAATCCTGACCTGAGCCAAAATCATGAGTTAAACACCTAATCAAGAATGGACTGAGCCACACAGGCACCCCTGCAGAAGCCTTTTAAATAAGGCATGGTCCAGGGCTTAAGTCTAGAATGTTCTAGAATCTAGAGGCTTAGAGAACCTTTTTAAATAACTGTCACACACAAAAGACAAAGTAACACTTTCATAGCTGAAGGGTCCTGAATCTAACTCTCTAAAAGGCTATTTTGCCTGGAGGTACTATTATTTTATATATTTACATGTCAGTGAATATATGTGAATTATATTTAAGGGGAATGAGGATTAAAAGTCTACAAATTATAGGAGCAGTTTCCTTGAACTACGAAAAGAAAAAGGTTATTTTTACAAAAGGGAGAAGTCAAAAGTGCTGATATACTTGAGTAGAAGGAGAACTGTATGCAGACAACCCGGAATCAAAGCTATTCTTTCTCAGGGTCCTCACAGGCTGTTCTGTTTCTTCTTTTGGACTCATTTTGCCCAGCAGACCCCTGAGGGCTTATTCTTACATAACTCCCTTTTCTTTCCAATGAATGGAAATGCTCACCTTCCTGTTTCCTTGGACTTGGCCATGAGATGTCGGGCTGAGTGTTGCTGAAAGAAAATGATCAGGGTCTAGATAGATACAAGGCATTGTCCATGGTAGGAAGAGACCATTGTCCATGGTCATAAATGTTCATATTCTAACATATTGTGGACAGATTTGTGAGGTATCGTTAAAGGTTTTGGAAGGGGGTGCCCGGGTGGCTCAGTCAGTTAAGCATCTACCTTTGGCTCAGGTCATTATCTCAGGGTCCCAGGATCGAGCCCTATGTCAGGCTCCTTGCTCAGTGGGAAACCTGTTTCTCCCTCTGCTGTTCCTCCTGCTTATGTGCACACACTTTTTCTCTTTCTGTCAAATAAGTAAATAAAATCTTTAAAAAAAATAAAGGTTTAGGAACTAGTCTTATCTAAAAACAATATTTTCTCACTTGTATTATTTTCCTCAGCACAGCATGGTAATCGTATTTCGCTTCCTGGTGTCTTTGTGTGTACAAAAATGAGTGTCCATCCACAA